CCCCCCCCCCCCCCCCCCACTTACGAGGATCACCGCAAGAAGTGCATCGTGAAGGCTTGCGTCCACAAGTGACTCGATCTTCCTGAGAGTAAGCTTACACGAATTCATATCGCCAATTCAAGTTTTTACCAAAAAAAGCCTGGTCCAATTTATCTTTGCAACAAATTAACTAAATAAGTCTGCTTTTTCTTCTCCACAGCATCGACAAGGAATTGAAATTACCGCATTGAGCGGACATTGAGCGCCTGACCGCAAAGCTCGTTCGTTACCACGGAAAAGGGGTCTCCTCATGTGCCACTAGCTCATGGTGAAAGTAAACTCGCTTGGTTGTTTACTTAGTTCGTGACAGATAACACGCAACGTAATTTTTGATAGCAAATAAACACATATACATATTAGCAACACTTTCAAACCAAAAATGACCCGGTACAATTCTCTAGAAGTCAGCGAAAAACTGTTTTGCAACGAACCTGAGACGTATTATGAAACAACCGCTTTTTTCTTACATCACAATTTCATTTACAGCTCCTGTCGTATTTTTGTGTTTTATAAATGACAGGGAAGGCTATTCACATCGCTTAATATTTTTTCACGGCCGTTCTATCTTTTGGAAGACGTTGTTATTTTCTCTACCAAGCCTACTGGATTTTTGACGTTCGTGCTCATATTGAGTACTGGCCTGACTGGAGACTGTAATGTTGACATCTCTGAGCAAGTTATATACCAGGTAAATGACCTCGTGCTTTGCCTTATATCACGACTCTAGCTCTTTGGCCTGCAGAAATTCTTACTGTGTACACCATAATGTTAGAAACTCGTTGCTTCCCTTAACAGTGTTTGGAGGTGACTCTTGTTGAAAGTTATGTTATCCTTTGGAATAAAGCACGCGTTATGAGATTCCACAATTTCTGGTGTATATCATTGGTTTCGAGTGAATTCTTAAATGACCTTTAGAAAACTCCGAAGAGCTGGAAAAAGATTTCTTCAATTACGATCTTTCATCAGGATCCCGAAAAAAACACTTTTACAGGCTTGAAAACCCCTCAAAATTGCCTTTTTTCTTCCCACCTCTTTTTCAGACAATCATGGACAAAAGTCTTAGGACACTTTTGCATTTCAGGGGCGTTTTCCAAGTCACAAAGGTCCAACCCCTCCCCTCACCCCACAAAACAATGTTGGACGCCTGTATCCAGATTTTTTTCCCAGTTTCAACTTTGTATAGGGTGGGGGGAGGGAGAACTGCAAGAAAATTTCGAAAACGCTGCACTATTTTAAGAGGGAACCGAGAAATAAGGGAAAAATATGAATATTGCAGTACTATCCCAAGGACTTTTGTCCAGGATTGTAGCAATGAAATCCGGGTAGGTGCGGGAAGGGAAAAGCAATACGGCCGGATCACCTTTCCTCCCAAGAAGAAAAGAATCTACTGCCAAATCTTGGAGTATTGCTCACCGATAACGATGCCGTTGTAAACGAGGGACAATGACGGTAAAAGCGAAACACTCGGGCGTTGATCAAAAAAGTACCGCAACAAAGGTCTCACGAAAACGAAAGGAGGAAAGACATGGACGTTATGTTCCATCTGTATCGTTTGTGCGAAAATATTAACTCCTGAAGAATACGGAGACGGCTAAGGCGAGTAATGAGGCAACAGGCTTCTATCCCTTCCTCTGCGATAGTTGCTGTCCAAAGACATAAGTTAAAAGTCTGTGGTCCAAACCTCGCTTGAAACTCGGGCCCACGCCTCCTTGGACAAGAAACAATCAATGGGAGGGCGCATCAACAATGTTTTCATTCGATGGGAAATATTTCAAATGCAGAAGGACTCTGAAACGCTAACAAACGTCAACAAATAGCTAAAAATATAATTCCTATATGTTTGCATGGCTCGAAATCACGCGCATTTACACGGCTTTAAAGCTTTTTGCTGACTTGCAAGGACCCATCTGTTATGAAGAT